ATATGTATGTATATGATCCCATTAATTTTAACACGTTCAGCAATGATTTTGAAATTGTTCTTAAGATTATCACACACACATATTAATTTATAATAATAATTTATAATACGTTAGTAGTAATAATCATTAAATTAATAACATTATTTTTGATGAAGGTTAAGATGAAGGATTGTTCACGATTGCTTTTCAAAGTAGCATTGATGCTGCTTCACTTTTTTTCACATCGATCAAGTAGTGCCTTTGTAACTTGGATCTTACAATTAGTAAGACAGTCCTCCTCACCTTCTTAACCTTAACCTTACATCATCCTACTCCCGGGCAACCCTCACTTTATGAAACCTAACCGATGCTAAAGTCTCTCTCTCTCTCTCTCTCTCTCTTTCTCGTGGATTATGACCCACTATTCTATTCGCTCTTAACCACACTTACTTTATTATCATTATTATTATTATTATTATTATAATAATGACGATATACGAGATTGATATATGCTACTATTTCTTTATAGTTGACAATATCGATACGAACAATCAATGTCGAACTTTTTGTCTACTTTAGTAGACACTTTTTGTTTACTTTAGTAAAAATTCATGAAAAGTATAGTTTGAACGTTTTAAAAGTTTCTTGATGAATAAATCTAAGAGTTAGGATAGAAAATAATTAAACTAAAACTAAACTTAATATAAATTTTATCATTGAAATAAAATAACGTTTTTTTCTGATAAGAACTAAACACAATTATTATTTTATTAATTTTTTTTTGGTATTATATTCATATTTTTAGGTTTCCTGTCATGGGACAAAGACAGCTGTCACGTAGATTTGGAAAAAGAATTGCAAGCGTTAATAGCACAAGCTCCCGAAGGCGAGGAAGCTCGAAACGGTAATAAGATTAAATCCAATAATAGATAATCATAATAATCTCACACATCGATATGATATATAGAATATAGATTTAATTTTAATTGGAATTTATATTTCTATACGTATATAGGAGAACGTTTAATTCAATATGCTACGGAAAACCTTGTTACGGAGGTTTTAATACACCCGCAAACGAATACTTTACTGCAATGCATTCGAAATCTTCTCGCAAGTTTCACGAAACATCGACACATCATACACGCTGGATATACATTCGGTGGAAATGGTTCCTGGATACTACAGGTAAACATTAATTCATTTGAGATTAAACGATAGAATTTTCAATTGAAAATTGCAATTGTATATATTATTATCGTCACTGATCAAATATCATTCTTTCATCTAGGATGGAACCTTCAGTCTTGCGGACTTTCTTGATGCGTTCAGCGAACATGAAGTACAAAGAGTCCTTCGTGCCTACGAGAATAGCGTTACGGTAGATATTCATTGCGCGGGTGTCGGTGATTGGTCGACTACTCGATTATCCAAGGAACCATGTACCAGGTAACCTAACGTTTATTTATTTATTGAAAAAATAATATCATGATTAATACGAGGATCATTTTAACAAGTTGCGTAACCAAATCCAAAAAGTCGAATCTAATTGATTTTATTTGTTAATATAAAATACATTTTTTCTTTTCTGTTAACTTTTAATTAATCAACTGTCATAATTATCGACACATTTCTAATAAAAAAATATTTCTTTTAACAATAATTAATAAGTATAATGAATGTTATTTTTTCGTAAAGATCCTGCCGTGTTCGAGTAAATCCAGACGATGTATTAACTGCTGGAGTACCAGCTATCACGAGCTTCATAAATTACGTCGGACAATATTTAATTGTTCAAACGTTAGACCAATTGATGGAACCGTCCGATGTCGTTGGTAACATCAGGTTCAGTCATCCTACTTTATACGTCTTCCCTGGCGGGCAAGGTGATGCCGCACTATTTGGTATTAACGGCTTCAACATGCTCGTCGACGGTGGTTTCGCGAGAAAAGCGTGCTTCTGGGATTTCACCAGGCACCTGGATCGTTTAGATGCTGTTTTGTTAACTAGGATAAATAATAGTAATATCGGCGGCATGTCCAGTGTTCTTCGTAAGAAAAAGGAGATGCACGTCTATCCACAAATCGGTCATTTCTTCTGCAACCTTGTTGTAAGTATGAAAAATATTGATGCGGATAATTCGTTGAAATTATTTGACAAAAATTTTATATAATCGCGTTCGTTTGAAAATTATTCAGATGAAACAAAAGTTCGTCCGTTTATTCTTGTTGAAACTTTATTTTGAAACTGTTTGTATAAAATTAACTTTGAAAATATTCATTTAAAAGACGCACGAATGTTATACAAATCATAGTAATAATTTCAATTACAATTGTATAGAATTATGATAAATGTTTAATATTTTTTTATGTTTTTTTTTTTTTAGGAAAGAAGACAATCTCATTCACCAGACGGCGACAAAGATATCGATCCCCTAATATTAAATCTGACAGATGTCGGTCAAGAAATAGTTGTCAATCTTCGACACATCAATCTTCGTGCTCATCCATGCTACAGAGATCCCGATCCGATAAATTTATATCATAAAGTTGGACACGGTACATTGGATATGTACGTTTTAAGCCCTAACAAGGACAGCCGAGAAGTTAGAGAATTTTTGGCAAAGTGGCATACGTCGGACGTTAAATTGTTCGCTGGTGCGCATAAAAAGGATTCGAATAATTTAACATTTCCTATTCAAAATCTCGTCTCGATATGTGCTTTACTGGTTTGGCAACCAGCTAATCCCGAAGATAATATTACTAGAATCCTATTTCCCGGGAGTACGCCTCAACATAAAATATTTGAGGGATTCGAACGATTAAAACATTTGGAATTTTTGAAACATCCAGTTTGTTCGGCAAAGAGTCTTTCCCCGTCGACGTCGTTGGTAACCTTAAAGGACAAGCCAGTTGGTCAAAAGTTGGGCTTATTTGAAAAGGTATCAAAGAAAATGAAAGATATCGATGTTAAAAAAGAAAAGAAAGAATCACCAGAAATCAAAGGTTTAAAAGGTGTCGATGAAATATCGACTAAGGGAACGACACAATCGACACCGATAATACCAACATCGAAACCAAGAAAAATCGAGGACAAACCGAGAAAGTTGGCGGAGAATAAGAAGATCGACGTAGACGCGAAAGAAAAGAAAATAGAGAAAGAGTTGAAGGAAACTAAGAAGGAACATAAGAAAGATATAATTAAACCTGAAAAAGTTGAGAAACCAGAAAAACAGGAGAAACGTGACGAGGAAATAAGTAAAAAGGAAGTTGTCAAGGATGAAATAGATAAAGTTATTCCAACTAAAGAACCTAAAGTAAAAGCTGAGCCAATGAGGAAACCGAAAGAACCGAAAACTGGTAAATCGATGAAAACCGAAGTTTCGTCTAAGGTTAAATCGATGGATAAAAAGATGAAGATAACTAGTTCGGAGAAAAAAGATGCTTCCAAATCGTCCCCAACAACGCCTAAGAAAACATTGAACGGTGTTGCGACTAAAACTGAAATATCAAAGACTGGAACTATGAGAGGAAGAATGGCAACAAAAGCAATATCAACGGCACCGGCAAAAAGTGCAAAGGATGCTAACAATCGAAAGGTCGTTGAACAAAAGAATATTGAGAAATCGGTAGCGAAGGAGGCACCTGTTGCAGTTGTTAAAGTGTCGGCTAAGCCAAAGCCAATGGATAGAAAGCCGATAAGTCGAAGAACAAAACCAGTTAGTCCAAGTAAAGCACGAGTACCTGGTAGTCCTGCTAAATCAACCCGAAGTACACCTACAGCTTCGGTTAAGTCAGATAAAGATGGTGTTATCAGAAAGATGAAGGGAGATAAGGGTACTACGGATTCCTCAACGGTATCTACACCGTCCGGGGTTGAACCAGAATCAACGGCTAAACTTGTCGAAAAAAGTTTGATCGAAAAGTCCGAAGACATTTCATTGGATTCCATCGAAAGTAAAGTATTGGCCGATTTGAAGGAAGAACGTGAAGTAGTAGAAGAGATCGAGGCAGTTTTACAAAAAGCCGAGAGAATGGAGGAGACCAGAAAGGACGATCGTTTCGAAGGTGACGATGAAATAACGGCAGAAGCTACCGACAAAAAGGAAGAAGATATGACCGAAGAAGACGTGACAGCTGAAATCGAGGACGCACCTAAAAAGGAAAGTTCTCGTAAGGAGAGTCAAGAATTAACGGAAGAGGACGAAATTTTGATCGTCGAAAAGGAAGAGATATATACAGAGGACTCGGTACAAAGTGGTGAAGGTGAACAAAAGCATATTTTGGATGAAGCCGAATCCGAGAAGACTAAAATACTCAAAGACACTATGGAAATAACAAAGGAAAAAGGTGAGAAAGAGGAATCGGAAAAGGATAAGGTAGAAAGTCCCGAGAAAAAAGTAGAAATTAGTGAAAAAGAGATTCCGATAAAGGAAGAAAAGAAAGTAGTTACGCCGGAAGAAAAAGCACTTACCACAACGGCACCAGAAATTACACCAAAGCCGGAAGATAAGGATGACTCTGGTAAAAAAGATAGCGAAGAAATCACTAAAGAACCGTCCAGTTTGAGTCCGGACAAATTGGATTCTTCTGAAAAGAAAACGACCGACACTGACATGAAACCTGAGGTGGATCAAAAGGAACACGTTCCGGAAAAATTAGAGGAATCTCAGGAACGTATATCGACGTTGGAATCGGGTGCCACGACAACTGCACCGACACTTCCCGAAGACGAACGTATCCCGTTGGATGAAATTAAAGAAGATATTGATGAGAAACACGTTATCGAAGAGGTCAAAGAAAAAGATGCGCCTGTTAAAGCTGAAAAAGAAATAATTATTCAAGCTATTCCAGTTGTTAGTAAACCCGAAGTCAAAGTTTTCGACGTAAGACAAGCAGTCCAAGGATTGCAACGAGACATTGTCAAAACTCCGGACGAAGTTGCCGATCTTCCGGTTCACGAAGAAGTCGATCCGAAATTATACCGAATGGATTTCGAAAAGGACAAGGAAGAAAGAGTGGTTGTAGCAACAGCAGCAGCAGCACCACCACCACCACCTACACAAGCAATCAAAGAACCGGAACCAACACCACCGGTCAAGGAACAAAAAGGTGTTTTCAGTTTCTTCGGCAAGGTAGCTGATAAATTTGAAAAGGGAATCGATAAGTTAACGAAGAAATCGAAAAGGGAAGCAGAAAAGGAAGAGGATAAATCCTCATCGAAATCCAGTTCCCCTAAGGAAGCTAAAGTACAGGAAAAAGGCACTTTGGAGGAGGTAGATCTAGAAAAAATGTTCCCAAAGGTGGGCAAAGTAGTTGAGAAGCCAGAAATATTCGAAAAGGTTGAGCCAGTGCCGTCTGAAGTGAAAGTAGCAACTATCAAGGAAACTACAGCATTTGTCGAAGAAGAAGAATCAAAGGAAATTAAGAGACGTAGTGTACCAGATTTGGAAGTTAAAGTGTCCGACAAGGTCGAAGTTATCGCGGAAAAGGCAATCATTTCGCCGATCGATAAACTCGATGAAAAGGAAGAGAAAGAAGAAAAGGAGAAATTCGTTAAAGAGGAAGAAGAAATTGGGGAAGACGTTGAAGAAGTAAAGGCACTCTTAGAGGAAGCTTCGAAAAAATTCAAAACAGTCAAGGACAGCCTTAGAGATTCCTTGGAATCTTTGGAAGAAAAGATCGAAGAAGAGGAAGATCTTTTACGTCACGAAGCAGCCCTTACCAAGGACATCGTCAAAGACACTTTGGAAGGAGTCGTGGAAAAATTAGAAGAAATGAAACCACAAATAGAAGGACTAGGTGAAATAAAGGGAGCGGAAAAAGTTAAATTCGATATTCCTAAGGACGAAGAATTCGAAGAGGAATACGAAGAAGAACCCGTTGGCCCGATCAAGGACGTTAAAGAAGCAGTCCGTGATGTTGGCGAAGTTCTCGCTGGATCGGCAGGTATAGTGATCGATGACAAACCTAAAGATGTCGTTGAAATCGTGAAAAAAGTTGCCGAAGTATTAAAGAAAGACGATTTCCTATCCGACGAGATATTGTTCGAGAAACCTTCCGAGAAGGAACCTTCCCCGACCGAACGAAAGGTCTCGATACCGAGTGACAAATTGATCGAACCTGATGACAAACTAGCCAAATTCGAAGACAAAGTGTTCAAACCAATCGTAGAGGATGTTCCTGTACCTGCAAGTATCACTAGCCTTGCCGAAGAAATTCCTAAAGAAATCGCTAAACCATTACCGATTTACGAGAAACCTATTGGTGCAATCGAAGTTGAAGAAGAACCCTGTAAAAAAGTGATCAAAGATGTTGAAGAAATAACTTCACCTAAGAAAGATCAAATCAAGGATACGCATGATGCTAAGAAAATCTGCGAAGATTTGATGAAGGATGACGATTATATTTGCGATGAAAAGAAAGAAATCGAGGATTCTACTTTAGTTGACGTTACGAAGGCAGGTCTAGAAGAGATTTGCGTGAAGGATGTAGCCAAACGACCATCGATCGGTGAAGAACCGAAACAACAAGTGATAGAAGAATCAATAATTGGCTTCGAACAAAAGCTATCACCGGCGAAAGCTGAAGTTGTTATGGTTACACCAGATTCAGCACCTACTTCGCCAAAATTCACGACCGACAAAGTTTACGACGAGGAATTGACGAAAGAAATCGCGAAAGAAAAATTACCAGAATTGATCGTTGAAATAAAAGATGTACTTAACAAATCAACACCGTTGGACGAGATCATCGAGGAACTCGTGATCACTAAGAAAAAGAAAATAACTATCGAGATAATCGAATATATTACTGTTGTTAAACGCGTACCAAAGGAACGTGTAATTTATATTATCGAAAGGATTATCGTTAGGAAGAAACTTAATCCAGAAAGTATAATGGAAGATGTGAATCTACTTAAAACAACTATAACACCGGAAAAGATCGTTGAAATCGAAGAATATATTATCAACGAGTATATCACAAAAGGTAAAAGAATTACCATACAGATAATCGAAGAAATTTCAATTAGAAAATCCGTACCCAAAAGAATCGTCATTGAAATCATCGAGGAGATTATTATCAAGAGAAAGATCACCAAAGAAATGGTATACGATATTTCTAGCGAAGAATTACATGATCTTCGCGAAGAATTATCGCCGGAAGATGAAAAAGTGGATATTATGAAATCCGAGGTTCTAATAGAAAAGAGAAAATCGATTGGTGCAGTTATTAGCCCAGAAGAAGAAGAGGAAGAAGAAGAAGAAGAAAAGGTTGAAAAAGAAACAAAAGAAAAGGAAGACAAAGAAAAAGACATATTCAAGACAAAAGAAGAGGAAGATAAAGTTTTAACTCCCGAAAGTATGGAAGAAGTTGATGGTTTCGTTAGTATTCCATCCAAAGCAGTTTTATTATCATCCAAAGATGAACAAATTCAAGCCCAAATAAAGAAAGAAGATGATGAAGTTGAAATAACAAAGGAACAGGAAAAAGACGTTATGGATGATTTCGAAGCGGTCGAACAAGAATACAAAGTTAAGGATGTTGGTGTTGCGGAAAAGGTCACATTGCAAATTGAAAAAGAGAAAGAAGAACCCGAGGAGGAGATGGAAGATGACACCTCGGACGTCATCGAGGCCGAAGAAAAGTTCGTAAAGGAGGTCAAGGAAAAAATTGGTAAGAAGGATATCGAGGATGTCGGGGTGATGTCGATGAAGAAAAAGGACATCGAGAAAATTGAAAAGGATGAATTGAAAAAGGTCATCGATGATGCCGCAATGGAAACGGAAACTTCTGAAGTTTCGGAAATCGTCGATACTACTGAAAAATATCTTGACGAAGCTAAAGAAAAACCTGATGTTAAAGATGTTAAAAAAGAAGAAATGAAACTCGTTGATGAAGAGATCAAATTAAAGGAGACTGAAATTAAAGAAGTTGATAAAGAACCATCTGTTAAAGAGAAAAAGGATGACAAGAAGATTGAAGATGATTTGATTAAGAAGGAACCGCCGTCTCGTAAGGAAAGTATTACCGTTGTCGACGAAACTATTCCAAGAAAGTTATCGTTGGACGTCAAGGAGGAAGCCAAGATTACTTTGGAAGAGAAAAAAGAAATTGAGGAAATTGTCAAGCCAATTGAATCCAAAGAAAAAGATGAAATTAAAAAAGAAGTAGATAAATTTGAGGTCAAGGTAGAAAAAGAAAAAGAAAAAGAACAAGAAAAAGAAGAAATTGTATCAATCCCGACCGAAATTAAAGCCGTACCAACGAAAGACGAGAAAATTATTGTCTCCGAAAAGGAGATTAAAGAATTGGAGAAAAAATATATCGAACCGAAAGAAACAAAATTACCGGATACGAAAATTATCGAAAAAGAAATGAAACTCGATGAAAAATTAGCAGACGCCACGGGTCGTGCTGTCGAACCTAAAGGAGAAGAAGAAATTATTGAAAAGAAATTAGAGGATAAAGTTGACAAATTGGACAAATTACCCGAGGATGAAAAATTAACGGACGCTACTGGTCGTGCTATAGAACCAAAAGGTGAAATTATCGATACCAAATTGGACGAAAAAATTGTTAAAGATGAAAAACTTATAGAGAAAATTCCCGAAGATGAAAAATTAACCGACGCAACTGGTCGTGCGATCGAACCAAAAACAGAGGTCATTGATAAAAAGTTGGACGAACGAGTTGAAAAGGAAGAAGTTACGACCGTAGAAAAATTAGCTGACGCTACGGGACATGCCATTGAGCCTAAAGCAGAGATTATTGATACGAAAGTAGAGAAAAAAGAAGAAATACAAGATGAAAAGATTCCCAAAGATGACAAATTAGCGGATGCAACTGGTCACGCGATCGAACCAAAAGCAGAAACAATCGAAGATAAAATTGAAAAGGTTGAAAAAGAAGAAGAAGTAAGCATTCGTAAGAAAAGGAGTCTTCAAGAAGAACCAATAACCGACATAAGCAAAGATTTAAAACCATCCGAAAGCAAAGAAGAAATAAAGCAAGTAGAAGTAGAAGAAGAAGAAGAAGAAGAAGAAGAAGTGAAAAAATTGGAACCATCTGAAATTGCCGAAGATACCGGTGTTGTTCGCAGAATGTTGGTAACGGCAAGCAGCGAAGATGGCGGACAAGAAATGGACATTTGTCCAACGGGAACGATAACCTTTTCTAAAATTGCAACGCCCGATGATTCCTTGAAGGAAGTATCGATTAAAACGACACCCGACAAAGATTCTTTACTTTTGGACAAGGATTCGATCCAATCGGGAATCAGTACTCCTGAGAAAGACAGTATTTCAGAAAAATTACCAGCCGAAATTAAAGATACCGGGAAAATCACTCCTGAAGATAGTTTGGACAAATCTCTAATCGATACACGTGATTCCCAAGATTTAGAAGACAGTCTAGAGAAACTAGACGTCAAAGTAAAGAGTGTTGAAAGTGTATCACCTAGCCCCGAAGTTGAAAAGTTTAAAGAGTTCGAGAAAAAAGAAGAAATCGTGTCTCCAGTCAAAGATGAGATCAAAGAAATCAGCAAAGCAGAGTCTCCAAAAGAAGAAAAAGAAGTCAAAGAAGCTATTAGCAAAGCTGCAAGTCCAGAAAAAGAAGTTGGCAAAGTACCACCCTCACCTTTAGACTTATCCGAAGAAGAAATTTCGAAAATAAGAACACCTACCACTACACCGATCGAAGATAAACACGAAAAGATACCAGAAGTTTCCAAGCCATTGGAAATTAGTCGTTCCGAAGATGTTTCACCGACCGAAACGATATTCGCGAAATCACCTATCGAGAAAATTGATTCTCAAGTTCCTACAGATATTTCGTTGATAGAAAAGAAAGAGACTGAAATTTTGAAGGAAGATAAGGAGGAAAAAATAGTCAAAGAAAAATCAAAATCACCGAGTCCTAGCGTAGAAACTGTTGCCGATGAGAAGATTCTAAGAAAACCATTTGAAGAAGATAAACCTATTACTGCCGTTGTAAGTGCAAAAGATATCGAAGAAAGTATCGTAGATAAAGATAAATCTTTAAAATTAGAAGAAATGAAGAAAGATAAAATCGAGAAACCTGTTGATAAGGAACAACTCGATAAAATTGTAAGTGAAAAATTAGAAAAAGAGGAAGAAGAAACGTTACTCGTTGAAAAATCAAGATCACCTAGCGTCGCTAGCGAGGAAGCAGAAAAAATCGATCACGTCGAAAAACCAAGATCACTTAGTATAGTTAGTGATAAAACGATAGAAGAAAAGGAAATAATTAAAAAAGAAGAATTAGACAAAATTGAGAAGGATGTATCAATCGATAAATCAAAATCACCGAGCATCGTTGACGATAAATCGAAGGAGGAATCCAAATCGCGAAGTTTAACTCCGTCAGAGAAGATCGATGAAAAAGTATCATTAACCGATAAATCGAGATCCCCGAGTGTTGTGAGCGATAAGATGGAAGAAATTGAACGCGAAAAGTCTAAATCACCGAGCAGCGAAAAAGAATTAACTGCTGCTGACAGATCTAGATCGGCAAGTGTCGTTAGCGAGATTCAGGATACGAAAAAAGTTGAGGAAGTTAAATTACCCGAAGAAAAACCTGAAGAAAAGATCGTTAAGGAATCGATTCCTGAATTAAAACCAACAGTGACAGCAGCACCACCTAGCGAGAAAATAAAAGATACGAAAGAATTAATCTTAGAAACAGAAAAAATTGAGGTTAAGAAAGAGCCCTCTCCTCCTAGCGAAGAAATACCAATCGACAAATCAAGATCACCTAGTATCGCTGAAAGTTTGGAGAAACCTTCGGTAATCGAAAGAAAATTAAGCGAAGTAACTAAACCACCGGTTACCGTGGAAGATAAGGAAGAAATTAAAATTACCGATAAATCAAGATCGGTAAGCGTTGAGAGTACAATCGATATATCCAAATCACCAAGCGTTACTGAAAAATTAGATGACGAGATCAAAGTAAGTAAATCACCTAGCATAACCAGTGAAAAATCTGAAGAGAAATTACCAAGCGAGTTAGAAAAATCACCAACCGTTTCTGACGACAAATTGGAGACCAAGGAAATCGGTGAAAAACTCGTTGAAAAAGAAAAATCCCTTAGTCCCGTAAGTGTTGCCGACAGTAAATCCAAATCTCCGAGTATTACAGACGAAAAAATAAGTTTAGCAGGTGTTACGATCGAATCAAAGGTAGAGGAATCGATTGTAAGAGAAAAATCACCAAGTATTGTAAGTGATACTGAAGAACTAAAAGACGTCAAAATTCCTACAAAAACAGAAGAAATTACTACGAAAAGTAAATCACCGAGTATATCTCCAACTATCGCCGAAACAAAATTGGATTTCAAAGATACCGAAGAACCGATTACGAAATCGAAATCACCGAGTATCACTAGTGATAAGGTAGATCTACAAGATGTAATTACTGAACGACCAATCGACAAGGATCGTTCCGGAAGTGTCGTAAGTACAACTAGTGAAATTAAAGAACCATCGGAGAAATCGAAATCTCCAAGTATTTCTAGTGAAAAACCTGACCTCGAAGAAGTAGATGACTTGAGTATACGAAAAGAATCAATCACTAAAAGAGAATCAATTAGTATTGGCGTTGATCAAAAACCAACTGTTGATTTAGAAAAATCTATTGATGTTTCGGAAAAAGTCGAGATCGATAGAAGTAAATCACCAAGTGTTGCCAGTGATAAATCTGATGAAAAGAAACCGGATGAGAAAGGTATCGAGCGTGAACATTACGAAGATGCAATCGATAAGTCTCGTTCACCAAGCTTCACTGAAGATAAGAGTCTTAGCAAGGAAAGCATCGAAACTACGTCTCCTAGCACTACGATAGAAAAATTAGATCATGTAAAGGAAAAGGATGACTTGAAATCGCCCGTCAAGTCTGAAGATTTCCATACACCTGACAAAACTATTGAAGAAAAATTGCTGGAAGATCGTTCAAGGACACCGAGTGTCGTGGACGTTAAACTTGACGATAAGTCCAGGTCGGCAAGTATAGTTAGCGAAGTATGGGTTAAAGAAGTTATTGATAAGATCGAAAAAGAACCTTCACCGGTTGAAAAGGAAAAGTCACGTTCACCGGAAACTGTCAAAAAAGAAAAATCACCTTCCCCGGAAGTAGAAGAATCAAGAAAGTCTGCTTCACCGGAAATAGAAACAGAAAAATTACCGATGACAGAAGCAAAGACAGAAAAATTACCATCCCCGTCAAAAGAAAAATCGTTATCTCTAACATTAGAAACGAAGAAGGAGAAGTTGCCATCACCTGAAATACAAAAAGAAAAGTCACCTACACCGGAAATACAAAAAGATAAATCACCTTCGATAGAAAAAGAGAAGGAGAAATCACCAGAAGCAGAAATACCAAAAGAAAAATCACCAATACCAGAAATACAAAAGGAAAAATCACCGACACCCGAATTACAAAAGGAAAAATCACCGACACCCGAATTACAAAAGGAAAAATCACCAACACCAGAATTACAAAAGGAAAAATCACCAATACCGGAATTACAAAAAGAAAAATCACCAACGATAGAAGCAGAAAAAGAGAAATCACCATCACCTGAGATACAAAAAGAAAAGTCACCAGCGTTAGAAGCAGATAAAGAAAAATCACCAACACCAGAGTTACAAAAAGAAAAATCACCTACGATAGAAGGTGATAAGGAAAAATCACCAACGCCGAAATTAGAAAAAGAAAAGTCACCCGCGTTAGAACCTGAAAAAGAGAAATCGCCATCGCCTGAGATACAAAAAGAAAAGTCACCTACACCTGAAATACAAAAAGATAAAACACCTTCGATAGAAAAAGAGAAGGAGAAATCACCAGTAGCAGAAATACAAAAAGAAAAATCACCGTCACCCGAAGTACAAAAAGAAAAATCTCCAACGCCCGAAAAACAAGAAGAAAAGGCACCTGAATTAGCACTAATGGGTAAAGAAAAATCACCAACACCAGAATTACAAAAAGAAAAATCGCCTACGATAGAACATGAGAAGGAGAAATCGCCATCGCCTGAACTCCAAAAAGAAAAAGCACCTTCGTTAGAAACTAAAAAGGAGAAATCGCCTTCACCCGAAGTACAAAAAGACAAATCGCCAACTCCGGAAATACAAAAAGAAAAGTCACCTACGATAGAAACTAAAAAGGAGAAATCACCATCACCTGAAATACAAAAAGAAAAGTCACCCACGATAGAAGCAGAAAAAGAGAAATCACCATCACCTGAGATACAAAAAGAAAAGTCACCAGCGTTAGAAGCAGATAAAGAAAAATCACCAACACCAGAGTTACAAAAAGAAAAATCACCTACGATAGAAGGTGATAAGGAAAAATCACCAACGCCGAAATTAGAAAAAGAAAAGTCACCCGCGTTAGAACCTGAAAAAGAGAAATCGCCATCGCCTGAGATACAAAAAGAAAAGTCACCTACACCTGAAATACAAAAAGATAAAACACCTTCGATAGAAAAAGAGAAGGAGAAATCACCAGTAGCAGAAATACAAAAAGAAAAATCACCGTCACCCGAAGTACAAAAAGAAAAATCTCCAACGCCCGAAAAACAAGAAGAAAAGGCACCTGAATTAGCACTAATGGGTAAAGAAAAATCACCAACACCAGAATTACAAAAAGAAAAATCGCCTACGATAGAACATGAGAAGGAGAAATCGCCATCGCCTGAACTCCAAAAAGAAAAAGCACCTTCGTTAGAAACTAAAAAGGAGAAATCGCCTTCACCCGAAGTACAAAAAGACAAATCGCCAACTCCGGAAATACAAAAAGAAAAGTCACCTACGATAGAAACTAAAAAGGAGAAATCACCATCACCTGAAATACAAAAAGAAAAGTCACCCACGATAGAAGCTAAAAAAGAGAAGTCTCCATCGCCAGAATTACAAAAAGAAAAGTCTCCTGCGTTAGAGACTGATAAAGAAAAATCACCATCACTTGAATTACAAAAAGAAAAGTCACCTACGATAGAAGCAAAAGAGGAGAAGTCACCATCACCTGAAATACAAAAAGAAAAGTCACCCACGATAGAAGCTAAAAAAGAGAAGTCTCCATCTCCTGAATTACAAAAAGAAAAGTCTCCAGTGTTAGAATCTGA